TGTCCAGGCGATAATTGAGGTCCCCGAACCAGAAGAGGTGGGTGAAGCGGAGGGAGATGTCGAAGGAGCTCAGCTGCTTGTCCCCCAGCGAGAGCAGGCGCAGGATGTCCAGGTAGTTCTGGTTCCTCCTGCCCGGGGAGGGGACACGGGGACAGGGTGACACGGGGACGGGGCAGGATGAGGCCCGTCCCGCGGTGGGGGTGCTCACCGTGCCGTCTTCTCGTTGCCGGAGGTGAGGTGGCAGTTGACGAAGCCGAAGGAGGTGCCATTGAACATGAAGGAGACGCCCACGGCTCCCTTGTTGCCTGCAGGGACACGGGGGTGGGGGCAGGATCAGGCCCGGGCGGGGACCCACGGGCTGCCCCCCACCCCGGGGGGACGGGGACCCAGCTGCCCCCATGCCCCGGTGACAGGGCGCGGTCCCCACCCAGGCTGTGCGGGGCCCGGGCTCCCGGCATGCACCCAGACCCCTCCTCGTGCAACACACACGCACCCGGACCCCTCCTCGTGCAGCACACGCACCCGGACCCCTCCTCGTGCAACACACGCACCCGGACCCCTCCTTGTGCAACGCACACGCACCCGGACCCCTCCTCGTGCAGCACACGCACCCGGACCCCTCCTCATGCAATGCGCATGCACCAGGACCCCTACTCGTGCAATGCGCACACGCCCAGACTCCTCGTGCAACACACATGTGCCTGGACCCCTCCTCGTGTGATGCACACGTGCCCAAGACCCCTCCTTGTGCAACACATATGCTCCAGGACCCCTCCTCGTGCAATGCACACCCCCCAGACCCCTCCTCGTGCAACGCACACACCCCCAGACCCCTCCTCGTGCAACACACACAGACCCTTCCTCATGCAATGCACGCACACCCAGACTCCTCCCCAGGCAACACAGGCGCTCCAGGACCCCTCCTTGTGCAAGGCACGCAACACCAGGACCCCTCCCTGTGCAACACACGCGCTGCAGGACCCCTCCCCGCGCAATGCACGCACACCCAGGCTCCTCATCATGCAACACGTGTGCTCCAGGACCTCCATGCGTGCAACACACACGTGCCAGGACCCCTCCTTGTGCAACACACACACATCATACAATGCGTGTGCTCCGGGACCCCTCCTTGTGCAACGCACACACTCATGAGGACACCTTGTGCAACACATGCAACACCAGGACCTCCCTCCGTGCAACACATGCATGCCACGACCCCTCCCCGTGCAACGCACACCCCCCCCAGACTCCTCCCCGTGCAACACGTGGGCCCCAGGACCCCTCCCCATGCAATGCATGGGACGATGGGACCCCTCCCCATGCAGCACACACACACCAGGACCCCTTCTTGTGCGACGCGCACACACTGGGCCCCCTCCCCGTGCAATGCAGGTGCTCCGGTATCCCTCCTCGTGCAATGCACACACGCCACGACCCCTCCTTGTGCAACGCGCACACACTGGGCCCCCTCCCCATGCAGCACACACACACCCCTAGACCCGTCCTCATGCAACAGACGTGCTTGGACCCCTCCTGGTGCAATTCATGCAACCCCAGGACCCCTCCCCGTGCAACACCCACGTGCCCAGACCCCCCTCATGCAGCGCACGCCCGCCGCCCCGCAGCTCCGGCCCCTACCCAGGGTGTTGGCGATCCCCGTCTTGACGCTGGAGGTGCTGACGTGGCTGATGCGGTTCTCGTGCTCCGGCTTCACCAGCACCACCACCTTGATGTTCCACAGGGACTGCATGGCCACCTGCGGGCCCGCGGCCACCGTGAGACCCCCGCCTCTGCCGGGACGCACCGGGGAGCAGGTCCCCGTCCCGTGGGCGCAGGGTGCCCCTCGGGTGCACCCACGGGGGTGGCTCATCGCAGAAGCCCCCTCCTCTCCCACCAAGGGCCGTTCCCTGGGGAAACCCACCACCACCGGCACCACGAGACCGCCCCAAAACACCCGGCGTCGGCAAAGCCGGAGCACCCGCAGCCTCCCCAGGAGCCGGAGGGACACCGAGCATCGCCCAGCTCCGTCACCCAGCAGCATCTGCATCCCACACCCCCCGGGACCCCCAGGTTCCTACCGGGCGGTACTCGACCTCCGTGAAGTCCTTCAGCACGGCGCGGAGGAAATCCACCCACTCCTTGTCCCCCAGGGAATTCTCCTGGGTGCCAAAGACGTAGATGTCGTGGGGGATGGCGACCGTCACCTCGTCCAGCGTCTTCCCCAAACCCTTGGAGGTGAACCACGACGTGATGCTCTTGGGCGGGGGCACGCTGCCTGCGGCGAGGGGGGGACAGGGCACGGTCAGGGGGGACCCCGGGGGCTCAGCCCCCCCGGTGGGACCCCCCCGGCCCCGCTCACCCATGTTCCAGGTGCCGATGAAGATGGAGATCATGTCGGGCTCGTCCTGGTGGGAATGCTTGTTCTTCATCAGCTGCAGGAGCTGGCAGAAAGCCTCTCGCTTCTGCGGGGGGGGCGGCGGTCAGCAGGGGGAGAGGGGCTCCCCACGGCCCCCACGACTCGACTCGGCCAAACTCAGCACCTCCCCGGCATGGGGGACGGGGCAGGGACCTCCCCGGGGACACCCCCGGCCACCGGGCACCCAGCACCCGTCCCCGTTTAACCGGGGGTTAAATCCTGCATCCCCACCCCTAAGAGGGGGACGCCCCCCCGTCCCGGCAGAGCGCGACCCACCCGGGCGCTGACGAAAACGAAGTCTTTCCGTTGCGTTTTATCCTTTTCCTTCTCGAAAACGATGCCCAGTTTGTTCTGCACCCGCTGGGACTTGATCAGCTGCCGGACTGGGGGAGAGGCGGTGGGGGGGTACTGGGAGCCGGCTGGGCACCGTCACCCCCCCAGCCCGGGGTCTGGGGGACACCAGGGTGGGGGGACACCCAGGCTGGGGACAGCCAGCTGCTCCCACCCCGCCGCCGAGCCCCGCAGGGACGCCCCCCCTCCGCTCCAGCGCAAAGTCAGCGCCGGCGCGGGGCGCAGGGTCCCCCGGCCGCGTCCCCCTGCTCACTCTTGTCGTGGGTGAAGGTGTTCCAGTCCTCCTGGGAGTCCTTCTGCTTCTTCAGCACCACCAGCTTCCCCCCCTCCATGTCCACGCTCAGCGTGTACTTCTGCGACTTGCCGATCTTGGTCAGGTCCCCCAGGGTGACGTCCAGCTTCACCTGCGGCGGGACACCGGGTGCTGCGGCGGGGAGAGGGGCCGCCCCCGGCACCCAGCCCCGCCACCGCCCCCGGGGACGCCGAGAGCTTTGTGCCCTCGGTGCCACGCCGATGCCGAACCCCCCCG